AATAAGAGTGAAGCAGTGGAGGACCACACAGGCAGTGCACGGTGAGGAGGAATGATCTGCACAGAGCTGCCAAACACGACTGCTTGAGGCAATGAAAGCAGTAGGTTATGATACTGTAGTGAGATACGCATAAGGGGCCTCTTTTATGAGGTGGCTTTCCATCCTAAAGTGGTGTCTCAAGCTATTTCTAAATGGTTTACACACAAGGCTACTGCAGCTCACTGTTTGCTCAGTAGGCTTACTTTAAGCAGCAGTATTGAGAAAAATTTATCTAGGTTTCAATTTAATTTGTGCTTCTCAGCTCTCTCACATTACCTCAACTTTTGCATTCAACAACTAATTCAGAACCGGGGCTTGCCACTGCCTACATGTACACAAAAGATCAGATTGTGGGTGTAGGCCAAGGAATGGAGGAGGAACAGATAAAACAAACAAGCTGCCTACCAGTAAATTCAACAGCTAAGATGGAGGGCCAAGGATCATTTGCCCTCAAGTGTGATGAGTCAACCCAGACAGAACTACTTCACACAAAAGAAAACCTCCCAGGTTACCTTGAACAAAAATAATGAATACAAAAATCCCCACCATGAACAAGGACGTCTTGATTAATCTAAATTGATCATTTAGCAACCATGAGAGTGAGATCACTCCCAGTTGTGTTTGCTGACATGTTGCTCACGGGCGTCCATGGTGAGTCACTGCACACCAGCCTCCCCCCAGTCAAGAGCCACCATCTTCATTTCTCAGCAGCTAATGACAACTATTAGTAACCAGGAGCTAGCACAGATAGCAGTACGTGGGCTGCCATTGGAAGGCTGCATGGCAGTGCAAAATGGGTTGTGGGTGCATCGCTGCCCCAGGAGTTAGGCAGGCAGGCAGCAGTGTGACACTTCATCAGCTAGCAGTGACCACTCATGGTGCCTGCAGAAATCAGGGGTAATTAACAGGCACAGGAAACTCACCTGCATGACAAATGGTTTCAGTCTGCTCTCTCTTCAGGTGCAGAATTGAAATTGTTAAAAAGAAAGCTTTTCACCATGTTTTGGGCAGACTCTGACCTACTTATTTTTAATCTATCGCTTGGCTCCGTCATTTTGCTTTGCTGTCCTTAATCCTGAGCTGTTCCTTTTGTTTCATCAGCTCACAATTTTTGCGTGTAGGCATCTCTAGATTAATCTTCTTGTTTACTATTTTGGGAGAAAGTGCCCTGCATTCCTCTGCTCCTCTGTGAAATCTTCCAAATAGAAATATTTACTCAGGACTTTTGTGACCTGGAGAAGTCACCTCCCTTGGCTCACAAGTGGTTTCTGCACTGTGTACACAATATCAGTTCACAACTTTGCTTCTTGGCATGAGGTAAAAAGATAAACAAAAACAACAGACAAACCCCAGACCCCAACAGGTTTGACTACCAGATTTGAGTTGTCTGGAAATGAAAAGTATGGAAGGGCTCAAGTGAGCTTGCCACTGAATTGGTACTGGGGAGACTGGAAAATAAGAAAACATGGAACAACTATGTCAAGTTTAATGGCATCCTAGTCCTGCCTTCTTCAATCTGCTCTGCTGGAGTGTTTCTTAATTTGTTCTGCACTATCTAAAGCTGGATCTTCCCAATATGAATCAGAATCTTTCCAAAATGCATGTACTTTGTGGACAAAAAACTGTAAGGGACCAACCTGTGGTAAGAAGTCTCTCTTGTAATTTCTTCAGCTTACACTCAAGATTCCACCAGGTCAAGGGCAGTAAGTCAGGGCCCTAAGGGCACTCAAGAGTGTTAACTATCCTGAGCATCCTCACCTGGAGTCAGCATCCACCCCCTTTTCCCGGTGGCTCCATTTAAGCTCTCCATTGCCACTTTGCTCAGTTTTTGCCTAAACTATTTTGTAGATGGGTCTGCTTTTAGTGTGGCCTTTTGGGTAAGCCTCAGCATCCCTCTGCAGGTAGCCCTCCTCCTGAAGGACCCCACCAGGTGTTTAATGCAGCTAAAACCAGTTCTGGCTCTGTTTCTCTTTGTTCCTGTATGGAGCCTGGGCCTGCTTTGTTGTTCCCAGCCTCTGGGGCAGCTAATGGACCCTGTCACCACTATTTCTTTCTGCTGGCTATTTTCAGATCTTGTGGGACTGCTTGTGCTGAGATTTCCCTTGGCTCCTGGTTTGTGTGCCCTTTGGGAACAGTGGCCAGTTGCTAATTTCTGACAAATATTTTGGAAGCAAGCTTGCCCTCATTTAAGTCAAGAGAACAAGCTAGTAATCTTTGTAGGGAGGTCCAGCTATTTTTGGCGCTTCACTTTATATTCACTCAAGCAGAGCTATCCACATGCACTTGCAGATATAGGCCCCATGAGGAATATGTCTACTTATAGCATACAGTTCCTCTTTCTATCTTAGGGTGGAGTTCACGTAAGATGACAGTCCTTCTATTTATTTATTTAGTCTGCTGAAGTTTTCTTCAGCTCTATCTTCTCCTCACACCTGCAGTTTGCTTTTTTGAATGCTGTTGAGTTAACAGAGGCAGGGAATGGCAAGTAGTGTGTGAGTAAACACAGGCTATGTGTTTGTCATCTTCATGGTGTGCATTATAAGCCTGACTGTGCTCTGAGCTGTACTAAAACATGGGACGTGCTTGGACGTGCAGAGGAACAGATACCCTTATGCTGCATGTTTTCAAGGAGCCCTTAGTTCCACTAACTGGCCTGTAAAGTCTCCAGTTTGCTGTGCTGGTTATCTTCTCACCTTGTGGTTCTGTACGATTAATGCATCTGAACACAACAGGCATAACACACAATTGCAGGTATGCTGTCTTTCAGAATTTAGCATGAGGTGGATGCTGTTCTTTTCACATTGTGGCTTTCAAAGGCTAAAATGTAATAATTAGACTGGTTAGTTAGTCCAGTCTAATGAGCCTTTTCAATGCACACAGGGTTTTAACACGGTACCTGTGAGAGTATTTTTGCTTTTTGCCTATTAGAGATCTAAGAAGGAACAATTGCTTCAACTGGCCTCCCATGTTCCAGTCTGAGGATGGACTATGAGCAAGGCTTTCTTGCCTAAGCCTCTGTATGTGAGTGAGGCACCTGTAAGAGGCCTTTTAAAAACCTGTCAAAACACATTAATAATAAAAATTAGCTGTCACATGAGCAGATGCCCAGAAGCTTGAGTAATAATGATGCAGTGGTAATGGAATACTTTTTCATGCTTTGTTGACAAATCACTTTTTTTCGTTTGCTGTGTTCCTGATCTTTGTCCCCTTCAAAGCATGGCATGTCCAAATCTTCCTTTGAAGCTTTTCTCTTTCAGTACAGTGCCTGTGGTGCCCTCCACCTCTGTGTTGGGTATGCCTGCCCCGCATCAAGCTGTCACTGCTGCATCTCAGCTCTGTGCTGAGATGCTGGCAGTGCTCTGACTTTGGAGTAACTCAGGCAATTTTTACAAATCCCCCTGCTAGTCCATCTCTGAGCTGGCCCTGTGCAAGGACGATTACATGGAAGCTGTTTCTTTTGACTTCAGCATCTTTGATAAATGACTTCGTATAATTATCTATGAACAAAAGAGTATTAAATATAGAGTGTGGCTGTCTCTTTTCCTTCAACACCTAAAGCTATGCTTCCTGAACAGTGGAGTGGCACTGCTAGAAGACACGATAATACTGAATTAGGTTCAAGACCTTCGAGGGAACACTGTGCTGTTGAGTGTAGCTGAAGAAACCCCCCTAGATCCCTAGTGCTAATGAACAGAAAAGACAACCATCTTTCCTCGCTCTCCTGGGAAATGACAAATGTAACAGACTGGTTTGATCTCTTGAAAGACGTGCAGCGAAAAAGAATGCTATAGGAATCAGTCTAGGCCTTGGGTGTGTGTATGTATACATATTCCAAAACTAGTACTTCCCACTGATTATATAAAAAAATGGTGAAGCTGAGTAGCCATTAAAATGTATCCTATTGTATATGTGCTCCCAGCCTCCCTGTGTAGGGCTCTTTCTCGCCCAATCTGTCATTGTTCTCATCCAATGCTCACAAACAATAGCGAGAGCCCCGACCATTTGATGAAGTCAACATGCTGTGGAGTAGGGGCTCTCCCTCAAAATGTTCATCTCCTTTCCTGGTAGATGGCTGTTCTGATGTGTTTGGGTGTGGATTCTGAACATTTTCAGAAAAGGAGAGATAGGGTGATCCAGTCCATTGACAAGGTCAAGTAGTTATGAGAACCTGTAAGCAGGAAGAAAAATTGCGATACCGCAACCTGAAAGCTCTCATTTCAGTAATCACCATGGAAAACTGAAAAGGGTCACCCAAGGCCAAAACAAAAAAACCCTGCAAGATCCCATCTTTGATGTGCTTGTATTCCATGGTGTTAGGAACCATTCTACTTGGCAAATAGGCTTTCACTGCTGGAGAATGCAGTGCTGCTGGTTGCAGTAGTGGCTGGGTACAGGTTGAGTTTTTGCACCTCCGTTGCTCTCCCTGACCACAGCAACGACTTCATTTTTGCAGGAGAGCTTTATGCATTGCCTGGCACGGAGCCTGCTCACTGCCCCAGCTCCTGGCATCTAAATGACTGAGCACGAATTCCAAGTCCCTCTTTGGACATCGAGTTCTTCCTCTGATATGGCTCTCAGATGCTCTGGAATGTTGTACCTAAGAATCTTTTAAAATTGAGGGTGAGGGGAAACTAGATCTGCCTTTACAGAGGGAATGGAGGGACCTCCTCATCTCTGACCCCAATCTTCTGATCTCTGCCCGTGACTCCGGAGGACGAGGAGGAATAAGAGCTCTAACAACCCTCTTTCACGGAGAGATCGCCTCGCACACTCCTCAACGTCGGAAAAGACCCCCTCAACGGCCGCTCCCGCCCCGCAGCCCATCACCACAGCGCCCGCCGCCTCACAGCGCGCAGGCGCCGCCCTCAGCCCAGGCTCCGCCGCGGGGGCGTGGCGCTGTGGCCGGACGCGGCGGGAGGGGCGTGGCCACGCGGCGGAGCGTCGGAGCCGTGAGGGGAGGGGGAAGGAAGACACCGGGTACGGAGCCGCCGCCGCTGCCGCTCCCCTCCGTCAGGTAACCGGGGCCGGGGGGCGGTGCCGCGAGCTGCTCGGGAAAGCCGGGTGGGCGGCCGAGGAAACGGCGGCGGCGGCCCTCAGCGAGGGCTCCGGACTGAGCGGCACCGGCCCTCCCTGTTCCAACACAAAGCGCCGGGCCCCGTTCCTGGCCCTCCGGCCGAGGCCGGTACCGAGCGCCTCTCTGCCGCGGCTACAACTTTCTGTCCGGCTCGGCCACCGGTTCCACTTCTCTGCCTTCCGCGTCGGGACGGCGGCGGCAACTTTCCGCGGCCGGTTCCTGCCCTTCGCCGCGTCGGCCGGCCCCTCCGCGGGGCGGGCGCGGCGGCGGGGCCTCCCGTCAGCTGTTCGCTCTGTTTGTTGTCGAGCTGCCTGCGCTGCCGGCGGCGCCCGGCGGCGGCGCCGGGGGCCGAGCCGGCGGCGATTGGCTATGCGCCGTCACGTGACGCCGGGCGGCCTGGCCCGCCCCCGCGAGGGGCTTTGTGTGCGGCGGGGGCAACGGACGCGCCGCGCACGCGCGGGCTTCCCGCCGCTCAGCCATTTGCCCCTGGGGGCGCCGAGGGGAGGGGGGTTGCTGTGGGGAGAGTTCGTCCGGCGGTGCGTGGCATCGCGTAGGTTGGGTTTCTGCTGGGAAAGTGAGGGGGCTTACCGTGTTTGGGAAGGGCTGGGTGACTGTGGAGTGCTATGGGCGAAGAAATAGGGTGAAGGCTGCCGTCCGCCTGTCCTGTGGGGCACCGCGCTGCCCTCACCTCTGGCGTGGCAGCGGCTGCAGGCGGGGCTGCGCAGTGCCGTGCCTTAATCTGTGGGCATGGCTGGTTCGGCTGTGTGCCCGTGCTTACCCACCAGAAACCTTAAAACCCGGTTTGGGAGGCAACAACGACAGATTTGTCACTTATTATCTGACGGACTAGCTGCACTTATATGTATTTATGTGTTTAGCTTTCCCTCTGCTGGTAGTGATCACAAGTTCAAGTAGTGTTGTCCAAGCTTAGGTTGTTGTTCATCTTTGTTTACTATCACTTGACCTATGTTGAAATCTTGAGTTGCTCAGCTGTTGCTTATACAACCCGCTTAGGAAAGGCTTCTCTTAAAAAATAAATAAACAAAATGTTGTGAAATATATATATTAGTATTTAGTATCAAGGTTGTCTTCATTTCATAGCCTCTACCTAGGAGTTTCATAGAGGGTGTGAGAATTTGTTGGTGAGATGCCCTTGAAGTATTGACAACCTTTCAGCCAGTGGATGTAGTTTGGGTGGAGGTTGGCTTCTCACCATGGTATGCTATATATTTTATCTTTTTTGTATGATTCGTTTTAACCATTGCTGTCTTCTGGTGAAGGTTTGTACTGCGCTGACACTAAGGATTATGAGAACGTCTGAATTAGTTTGATTTTCGGAAAGTTGTAGAGTAGATGGAGTGACAAAAAGTCTTTTTGTATACCTGCTGTAAAAGTAAATTTATTATTAAACCAGGAAATACAGATTTCTTAAAACGCTTGAGGAATTAAGAGAGAAGGTAACCAGGAAAACAAGGAGACAGAAACTGTCACTAATCTGTGGGCCCTGTGTAGAGGGGAAGAAGCTTGGCCTGAATCTGGTACCACTTGTAAGATAATACAATATATGTTATCTGGCAAGAGTATTGTGATGATGTAAGTTACTGTGGGGGGTACAATGGGGTACGGGGGCTGTGTTAGGAACCAGCACCCATCTGTGTGCCTCTGCTATCTGTAAACTTGAAACAAAATCCTGTCTTAGTGTTTGCATACACCGGCATCATGTATGTTAGCATATTTAAGTGCAGTGTCTGCACGAGAAGCTTTCCCTTTACCTGAACAAGCCAGTTTGCAATAGAAAATTACACTGCTATAACTTGCCCAAACAGTTTTGTGGGGCAAGGTGCCTTGTTGTGGGTGGGTGCCACGCACTGTGTCTGGGCACAGTGTTTGTTATGTTGCCAAAGCCTCTGTGGTAGTTTGACTGTTACCTTCTTTGTACAGTTCTAGAGTCGCAAAACGGTTCTAATGAATGTAGCATACTGTTTGAGTTTGCATCTTTTTGCTTTTGGCTACACATGGTGCTTTCTGATAATGAATTGTGCATCTAGGCAGAGGCCAGAGGCCAGGCCCTGCTTGCTTTAACAGTCACAAAAGTCATGTTGGAAGACTGCAAAATCTTGGACCTGCTGGGAGACTGTTTTCTGATGCACCCTCACATGTGAGCAGCAGAAACCTGGGAAGGTAAAGAACAGGCTTTTGTTGTTGTTGTTGTTTTTTTCTCCCTTACCGAGTGATTCTTTTGTGTGCAGTCTTGTGTAGCTGTGCTAAGTGTTTTTTTTCTGTTCATCTTTGAGATGAGAAGAGGAAGCTTAAGGCCTGTTCCTGAGATGAGAAGATGAAGTTTAAGCATGGTTCTAGAGTAAGTACCTTTTCAGAAGGTTATAATGTGCCTAGGGGAATGCATCATCATTCCTCAAGGTAGAGTGCTTGTTGGCTCATCATACAAAGACAAATGATGTTAGTTAGACAAACGGAGAAAGAGGGGCTGCCATAGCTTGGTATAACTAGCAGCTGTTTTCTGTTGCAGATCTGAGATGCGGTAGATGGTGCTGAAGCAGCACTGAGGCTTCTGCAGTATCCGCAGTCCAGCGTGTGCCTGCTGGCTGTCCCAAACACTGGTCCTGTGTCTTCATGAGATGCACTCTGAGATGAGAAAACACTGACTGTCAGTTTTAAAAATGTTAATAAAAAACTCTTTCCATTATTTCTGTATTATTTATGAAGGCATACAGATTAGGTACCACAAATACCGGCTGCATAGTGCTTCCAATGTTTGGAGCTCTGCATACAGATGGTGGTGAAATTTCAGCTGTCAAATGTCAGCTCTTTGACAGCTGTTGCTCAGTGTTGTCAAAATCAACACTTAAAGACAGGTGGAAGTGTGGGAGCACGCTGCAGTAGGAATGCATATAGCACACAGCCACAGCGCTCGTGTTTCCTGTCTGTCCATGCACTTACTGGGAGAAGCACGCAGGCAGGAAACGTTTTATGTTCTGACTAAGGATATGTATATCCAGGTTTGTAGCATCACAGCAGTGCGCTGTCAACAAACCTCACTAGCTAGGTAAGGCTGTCTGTCACTCTGAGTCTTCTAAAGGTGCTTTCAGGGGTGCAAGTTGGTGGAGTTCTGAGTGCTGACTTGGGACACTAAGCATGAAGTGCTGTCACTTCACAGAAGTACCCGGCTCTTTAAATTGTGTGGATTTGACAGGTACTAATGGGATATAAAGTAAATAAGTCTGCTGCTTTTATTTTGGATCCGTTAATTTAATGTCATGACTTGTCTTGGGTCATTTGTATGAGGGCAGGATGGCAATGACTTCATCATGGACACATATCCAATGAAGAATGTTTAGTTTGATTTTAAAGAAGGAAACATAGGCCGAAAAGCATTTCTTAGCATCATAGAAGCATAGAATCAACTCTTCATCCTTTGGTTTTGTAAACAACTGAAATTCTGTCCGCTGCTTTTGCAAATTCTGCTGGTTAGCATAATGGCACTGGTGTGATACAGTAGTGTTGCTTTCTGAGGTTGTGAACAGCAATGGAAATTGCCTGGCTCTGCACAGATGGATGTTATTTCCCCTATCTGTAAGGTAAAGTGCAGATGAGTGGGTAAGCGCACTTGTGTGTTTGCCCTTCCCCTGATTGCAGGAACTCAAGTTTTAATGTTTCGTTACTCTTTGTTTTTTTTCTTTAAGAGAGCGAGTCTTCCACTGCCTGTAGGGATTTCTTTTTTCCAAATCATTCGTGTATGTGTAATCCTAAATAGATGCTGACATCTTTCGTATGAAAAGTGAAAACTATAGGAAAAAGAAAATCACACTTCCTTGTACACAGCTTGTATATAAGGTATACAAGTCCCAGTTCCATTCTCAATAGGATTCCATGTGCTCTGTTTCCATTTTCCCAACTGAAAATTGCTTTCCTTTGGTCAGCTGTGCTGCTGCTGTTTTCTCCAGTATAGAGAGAGAGTAGATGCCCCAGAATTCAGGAGCCTTGGATAAGGGGAGAGCAGCATACTCATCGTGTACCACCTTTGCTGGTGTTACAAATGAATACTGTCATATACTGTATATGTATGTATGTATATTGTCATAAAGAGAATGGGGGAATGAGCCCAAGTTGAAATTCTCTAAATTATATGGGAGAGAAAAGGAGTTCCTTGTTTATTCTCTATAAAAGTTCGTGATCAGATGCAGCATTGGAGACTGCCTCGCCAGCAGTCATTGTCTAACTTTTCTACCTCTTACAGCTGTGAGCAGCAATGTAAAGAGTAATGCAAGGTGACCAGTCTTCAGCTGGATCTTTATCAGGTCGCTGAGATTCTGTAACGATCAAAACGGGGCTAATTAGAGGGTTTCTAGCTCTTTCAAATGAAATCTGCAGAGGGGTGGATGAGTCCAGTGGATATTTTAAATGTTAGAAATTCTAGTAGGATTACATTAAATTTTGAATATGTTTCTAAGAGACCGCTTTGTTGTGATGCAGATCTTCGAGGTTCATTTTCTAACCTTGGACACGTGTTTATCTTTTCAAAGAGACGTGTAGTCATTCCGAAGCAGCGTGCCCTGGAGAGCTTTCTTCCAGTACCAGTTGGTCTGTTACATTCTGCTGTAACTTCAGCAGGGATTCCCGCAGCCTTGTGTTACCATGGGATACATCTTTGTCTTTCAGTTAGGATCCATGTCCCACTGGAACCTTCATTAGCATTTCATTTCTTGATGAGGTATCTTTCAGCTGCTTGCAGCCATTACCTCAGGAAAAAAGCACCTCTATGGACTCTGATTCCTCTTCCGTGGGAACTTCTGGTCAACTAACTGTTTTTAATCCACAACAAAATCAGCATAGAAATAATGATATCCAGAATGGGTAGGGATGGTAGGTGGAGTTGGGCCAAGTGCCTTATGGGCGTATCTGTCACAGTTGCTCTTATTGCTTGTGTTTGTGGTTTCTTCTGGCTGGAGACTTTGATACTTACTTAATCAGTTACACTTATTGTCTGTAGATTGATACTTAAATAAATGGAAGGCAAACGCTGTGTTTTGAGTGGAGTCATAAGGAGTTGCATCACTACATTCCCATGTCTAAAATGTTTTATCAAACTTAAAACCTGTTCCATCTCTTCTTCTAAGAAGAGCAGTGAGCATTGTATCACCCATAAAGGAAAGTGTCATTCCATTGCTTTGAATGTTCACGTGTCCTTCAGATGAGACATGGAATGCTATGTTATCATAGAGTAGCCTGGGTTGAAAAGGACCACAATGATCATCTGGTTTCAACCCCCTGCTATGTGCAGGGTCACCAACCAGCAGACCAGGCTGCCCAGAGCCACATCCAGCCTGGCCTTGAATGCCTCCAGGGATGGGGCATCCACAGCCTCTTTGGCAGCCTGTTTCAGTGCTTCACCACCCTCTGTGTGGAAAAACTTCCTCCTAATACCTAACCTAAACCTCCCCTATCTCAGTTTAAAACCATCCCCCCTTGTCCTGTCACGAGCCACCCTTGTAAAGCCGTTCCCCCTCCTTCAATGCTAACCCCTTAAACTTGAAATAGATTTAGTTTAGGTATTTGTGCTTCCCAGAGCGTATGGCATAAAATACTCAACTTGATGGGCACATCTGATGAATTTCCTAATAAACAGCACATTGTTTCCTGCTCTGAAATGTGAAACACCAACAGTGTTCGTATTGCAGTGTGTCAGATTTACTTACACTGTTTCTTTATGCACGGCCATACAAAGCCCTGTTTTCTGAAGCACAAGTGGAGGCATATTTCACTTGTTTGGTCCTTAAACTTTTATGCAATTGAAATGAAAATAGCATCTTCATTTAGTTCCTTTATTGTGTTATCCTTCATTATTTGAGTTTTTGACTGTCTGATAAGTTGCCAAGATGCTTTAATTTTCGCTGCCTACAAAGGTCTGCAAATCTGTGTTACTCACTTTTTAAGCTCTTCTCTGATCAGAGGAGTTGCTCACATATTTTAGGGATGATGTTTTGGAAAGGGCTTGTGTAAATGGCAGTGTTTTGTGTTTAGATTAGACAGCTTTAAGTGTTTGTTCCTAAAGCTGCCTGGTGTGAAGGCTCAGATGGCTAATAGAGGTAAGTACAGGAGCCCAGTCTGCTCCAGCAGGAGACAGAAACCTCCTGGGTGGTGGTAGTGTGTGGCTGTATATGACAAATGTGCAAAGCATAGGAGAAATGTATTTATAAAAGGCGGAGGGGGAGTGATTTGGGATGATTACACTATAATTGTTTTGGTGACTCAACGTCCTTGTCTGTGCTTCATTTCCCAGTGCTGACTAAGGTGGGTGAGTAGTTGAGAACGTGTACTGGAATGGAATTTCAGCATCATATTACAGGAAAAGAAAGCAGGGAAAAAGTAGAAGCTTTTCGTTTTAGCAACTGTATGGTCCAGTAAGGGACTGGGCTGCAAACATCTGCACTGTATTAAATGGCTTGCATTCATATTTCCCTTATTTAATGTAATTAGTTTGTATCTGTGTGTGCCATCTTACTGGTAAGGTGGTCACTTTTAGAGAAGAGATTATTGTTTTTGTTAAGTTTGATATTTCTTAACCTGGTGAGAAAGGATGGGGGCAGCCTGTCGTTGTGATGTGCGCAATGTTCAGCGATGTGTGTGGGACTTCTTTTGATTTTGTTTGCTGCAGTGCTTTCTTTATAAGTGTGTGATCTTTCTTCTTGCTTTCAGATCCTGACTATTAACTTACATAAGCTCTAAAAATGGGAAGAATTTTTCTGGATCACATTGGCGGCACTCGCCTGTTCTCCTGTGCAAACTGTGACACCATTCTGACCAATCGTTCGGAGCTCATCTCCACTCGCTTTACAGGGGCCACAGGGAGAGCCTTTCTTTTTAACAAGGTTGGTAAGAAGCTGAGGGTGAACTATTTGCTTTAGAAGAATGACTGTCTGGGAAATGAATCTGTCATCACTTGGCACTGACTCGTAATGGCTAGCAAAAAAGTATAGCCTGTCTGTATCCTCAGCCACAGAGCCTTTCTTTTTCTCAGATGATTATTTCAAAAGCATCCCAAGATTTTTAAGAAGCGCACCTTACTATTTTAATTCTGATTTGTGGAAGCAGTGACATCAGTTACTACAGATAAGGCAGATGTAGTACAAGTGGTCCAATCTCGGTTAGTTGTGCTCACTGAGGCCCTTTCACCCAAAGCTGAACGAGGTACTCTGCACTCATGGACTCCTTATGAAAGAATTTCATGCCTGTCAGTTAAGCAGCAATGGTTGTACATCCTTGAGAAATACATCTTCAAAAGCATTACCTCTTCTAGGCAGGTAGGGCTACAGACTATTGCACTTGAGCTTTCAAGTGCCACAAGCTCTTTGCTTTTAAAGCACTGAGAGTCATGCCTATTGTTTTCAAACTTCGCTCTGTTTGAAACTAGACTAATTCTTTCTATTCCTTATTTTCTGTACATCTGTATCAGGTGGTAAATCTGCAGTACAGCGAAGTTCAGGATCGGGTCATGCTCACTGGCCGCCACATGGTTCGAGACGTGAGCTGCAAGAACTGCAACAGCAAACTGGGCTGGATCTATGAATTTGCCACTGAAGACAGCCAGCGCTACAAGGAAGGCCGTGTTATCCTGGAAAGAGCTTTGGTCCGAGAGAGCGAAGGATTTGAGGAGCATGTTCCATCTGACAATTCCTGAAGAGGCTTCTCTCAGGTTCTCTTCATTTGAAACTTAAAGTAATAAAATCAACAAAAAAATCTGCTTACATACACTGTCACCTTAGCATCAGAGTCGGATTCATGGACTACAGAGTGGGAAAGATTGTGAGAGTATTTCAGATGGAACCTTCCTTTCTTTGTTCCTTTATATTTTACTTTCCCTCCAGCAGCTGTTTGTAGAAAGATTGTTTTTCAGTTGCTGTAAGGTTTTTCTCTCTTGCATTTCCATCTGTTAAATCTGAGACAGTATCTGCAGATACAGTGAGCTAAAAGGAAAATGTTGGAAGAATTTTTCTTTTGTTAGAGAGAGATCAATGGTTGTTTTTGTTTGGTTTTTTTTTTTTTAGTTTGCACAAACTGATGTCAGCGTAAAGTTATTTTAAAATTACAGGTGTTTTTTTAAAAGTATATTCCAATTTTTGGCATAAGATTTTAGCTACTTTTTTTTCTACTCAATCTTTTCACCTGATTTGCTAGCTAAAGTGAAGAGATCCGAATTTGTGCCGAGTGCTAAAGGTTCAGTGTTGGTACAGCTTGGGCTGGCCCTTGTGCCATATTCTTGTTGAGGTTGATTGGTAGCACAGAGCCCATTATTTCTTGTCATTCTTGACCCAAAGATGTCACCATTCCTTGTTTATTTGTGAAGTCCCGGTCACCATAAACTGGTATTGATTGGAAACTATTTTTGAAATAGGGCAAAACTGCTTGGCTTTCTTTTTTTTTTTTAATTTTAACAGATGTGACTTATACCCATAATAATAATAAAGTAGTTGTCTGTTTAGTCTTGCGTTGCTTACAAAACAAAAGCTGTGTTTGTAATGATAAGGATCCACTGAGAAACTCCTGTTTTGGCAGTAAATTTTTTGTTTCTCTACTAATCTCATTAAGTAGACGGGCAATTGCAAACCTTAATTCTTCAAGTGGCTTTCTTCAAACCCAGAACTTCCTATGTTAAACACAGCTGCTGTGTAAAAGAAGACTGCCAGCATGTTTGTTCATGCATCCAGTTCTACAATCTGCATCTTGTGAAAAGATTTAACTGAACAGCTTGTTTTCAAATGCCGCTTCTGGTGGTGAAACTCTTTCAACTTAGTTGAACTCTTTTCGTTGTGGTGTTCACGTTTTTATCTTTCTGGGCAGCATTACATGTCGCCTAGTAGTACCTAGTGACTTGGGTTCCTGCTTTCTTGTAGAGGTCAGCTCTGTTTAAAACAGTGATCTTGCTTGCCTGGTAGCAAAAATGCTCTTTGTTGGTTTAGCTCAAGGGTGCCCAAACACTTTCATTGTCTTAAGCCATAAGTTGAGATCTCAAGGGCTGCAATGATTCTGAATGTTAGATATGTATGATTCATCATCAAAGATGTGTTTATTTTTTTTCATATTGGGTAAATTGTGGTCAAAGTGAAATAGATAACCCACAGGTGTACAGGGAGAAACAAATAGATCTGGCCTCTTGCCCTTCAGAGTGACTTCTTCACTAGCTGCAGCTCCATATCTGAAACTAAAATGGGAGGCTGACTATGCAGAGTATTTTTAATTTTTTGGGGTTGCTTTTTGGCAATTTGGACACCCCTGACTTGAATTTGCTGCCTACTTGATGTAAAAGTAGCTTTATTATAGAAATGTTATATAGAAGGAAAACAGAGTAGATCACATACCAGAGCTGTGCTTGAATCAAGCTGCTTAAACAGTAGTGTACTTGTGCCTCAAATCAGTTTTTGCACTGAGTACAGTAGTGCCCCATTATCTCGGGTTTTTTTCTGTCTTTCACAAACCCCAGAAGTCCCATTAGCATGGTTCTCTGCAGTACTTTTCTTGTACTTCTGGCATTACAGTACAATAAAGTATGTTTTGTCCTGAATTGGTATTTGCTATTCTTTTTCAGTTGTTTTATTTGCTCGGAGTCTGTCAAGTGAATGTTGTAACCTGTCTTTGTTTCCCTCAATTGAGTAAATTGAGTTTCTTCAGCATGGTGATAAGCTATAGGTGAGCATTTCCCTGAATGGGTTGCAAAAGAGCATATGGTTGGGTTTTGGAAGTGCTAAGTAGTGCTTCAGGCATATCATTTGGACTCTAGAAAGCCTTCAATTTATTGCTGTTAAAGAAAAAAATACAGGAAATTTATCATGTAATGGAATTCTGGATGATATACTTCTGTTTCTGTCTTTGGAAAACCAGCAAGCTAAGCAGAAGTCCAATTTCTGCAAGAAACGTAGAGCTTTAGCTTACTAAATGGCTTAGGAATTGAATAATTGGGTGTCTGTGTATCTGGAATTGTTTGTGCATATGTTGTGTGCAAATGTTAGGGAGAAGCTTTCTGCATTAGCAGCTGGTCAGACTCAGAAACTAGCTGAAGAACCAAGGTGGGAGATCACTACAGTGGTGCAATGCAGCCTAGGGCTTATTTGGACTTAGAACAAGGCTTCTGCACTTTGGTACAGTGTTAAACTGAGATGTTAAAGATGGCTTTTCCTGAGCTCTATGATGTGAAGAACACAGTGGAGGTGAACTCATTAAAACGTATGAGACTTGAGTCCATTGCAGTGTTAAAATGGAATCTGAGAAGCTTTGGATTGCCTTCCACCTATGTGCTGTTCCCATCTGTGCCACCTGGGTGGCTCTGGGAGTGTTTCCCCTCAAATTTTGGTACTTCTTCCTTGAGATGCTTAGTGTGTGAGTGCAGATAACATAGGGGACGAGGTGATTAGTTACAGCACAGCCAGCAACAGAGAAGATGTTGTTTGTCTGTAGTTGTTATTTTGTAATAGGTCATTAGCCTTATATTGCCACATGAGGGATGGTGGCAGCACACTGTAATCCCACTGTGTATGAATGAAGACCTTGGGATTGATACTTTGAGTCTTTAGTTTGGGCAGAAGCTTAGGCTTCAGCTTGGGCTAGCAATGGTGCCGTAGCTTTTGCTACCATTTCATCCTGTAGTTGCTGTTTAGGTTTACCCCAAGGTTGCTGACTGCTGTTTCAGCAGGACACAGCTTGGGGAAGATGAAAAGTTTGGATGTTGTGTTTGTGGACTGAAAAAGCATTTTAATTAGGTTTTCTATGGATATTCAAAATCATTCTTGAGATGGCACATGTATCCATGAGTGAGAAAAAGCAGCGTGACACTGGGCTGTGAGCAGGCTGGCATAGGCTGCTTCTTATTGGGCAAACTTTTTAATAGGAAGAGAACATCAGCTGTGATGTTGCAGCAACATGTAAAACCAGAAATACTGTGTTGTGTTTCCTTCTCAGGCCTCCATTCACTCCTTTAACAGAACAATGGTGGAAGTCCACTCAAACTGGGTTCCTTGGGGATCTTGAGGCTTTGTACTTTGTACTCCCTTGTACTTGTTAGGGGTGAAACATTTCAGATTTCCCTTGCTTGCTTGCTTAGAACACTGATTAGGATTGCTCTCCGTTGGACAACGGGTTGATGGTTGGACTGGGTGATCATAGTGGTCTTTTCCAATCCTAATGATTCTATGTTTCTAGACCCTGTTTTCATAGGGCTTTGAAGAGCTATGTGATTTAGATACGCCTTTCTTCATAAGCTATAGATGAAATGGCATAATGCATTCTTATTTTCGTTGTTACTTCCCATTATACACTTCACTCTGGCATAAGGATTTCTCTTTCTATGTCTTTTTTGGTGTAAGGGGTAAGAAATAAGGGGAGAAATTTGGTCTTTGCCTGTCTGTCTTCTGGTTGTTGCTGGTAAATCTGCTGGCAGCCTAGCATAGCCTTTTGCTCTGTAAGGACCTTGCTGGAAGGATAAAAGAGGAAGGAAAATGCTGGTGTTTGGGATTCCGGGAAAGTGAACCTTGGGCATTGTGGAGATCCTAAGGTCCCCTGAAAAACAGTGAGTGATGCTGAATTTAAGTTCTGTTTCTCTTGAGACCTCATTGAACCCCGTAACAGGAAGGAAAGAAGAACCAGAGTGGAGTTTCTGACCTTTCTGTTTGGGTGAATGAAGCTTCGAAGCAAGCTCTGTTTTTGTTCTTGTTATCTGAAGCATTCAGTGTTATCAGAAATGCATTCTTCAAAAGAGAAGGAACAAACTATGCTATTTATTTCCTAAGTATGTGAGAGGGTCAGACAGGTGGGGCAGAGAAGTTCTCAGACCTTATGTTCTGACTCAGTCTGTGAGAGAGATGTGTGATGCCTAGCATCAACATACACTGATGTTCACTTCTAGAACTCACTGAAATGTACACCAGGGATTTTTGCTTTGTCCCTTTGAAAGCATTTGATTGGACTGTTGCAAACACGTACAGGTGTGAATCTCCAGTATCTCTGCGCCTTCCTTGCAGAACAAGCACAGTTTAAAGATCTGAGGAAGTGCCTGCTTTTGCCAATGTTAGGAGTCAATTCTGGTATTACTGTACCAGCATGAGAGATTAGTCGCTTCATTTCAGGAGGAGTCGATGCGTTGCCTGTCCCATGCCTGCCTGCTGGGGAAGCATTAACTTAGTGATGTGCCCAATAAGCCTCCACTCTTGGGATGAGGTTTCTTAATATGATTTCTACTGTAGCCAAAAGTACATCAGAGAGTGATGATTTAGGTCGCGAAAGTAGAACACTCAAAGCACCAGCTTTCCAATGGATTGGGCAACATGTGGTTACCCTGTCCCTGCATCTGAGATGGAACATTTTAAGACATAATGGCCCATCCCAAGTTAGATCTCCAGCATAAGAAATGTCAATTCAAGTAATGCTTGGTAAAATTATAAACAGCTGAAAACAGAGTTGTGTATTGAAAAGTGCCAAGCAGCCTTAATGTTGTAATTACTCTTTGCACAGACCTTTCATTTTGCCAGAAAAAATGGGATGAGCCCAGCTGCAACAAGTGCACCTGTTTGGACAGAGGGATGGAAAACTGCATTTTTGCCAGAGACCCAAACAAGGAGTCCTTGCCTGACATTTCACCTTGTTGTTTGGAAACTGAGCCTTTAAGATGAATGTGGAACTGTTTCTGTGGCTCCCTTAACAGGTAAAATACTTCTGACTACTCTGTACTTTGATTACCAACTCCATCCTACCTTTGGCAAAATCCTAAGCTGACCCAATGCAGCTGGTGGGGTGTGATGGAGGTGACAGAATTAATTTTCAGGAGAGGCAAACAGTGACAAGGATCCCTGCACAGAGCTGTTGGTTTTATTTTCCTCTCCCACCCTGAAGTTAATAGAAAAAGAGATAGCTGCAGCTGAGCACTGCAGTATACTGCAGTATACTCCCTTCACTGCTTGCTTTATAAAGGGGTGTTTTGCTCTTGTCTGATAGCTGCTGTGGCCAGATTGCAGAAAGGAATGACAGCCACTGATCTCAGTTCTACTTTGTGTATGGC